TGTTTTAATACTACAATTGATTGCTTCTGTTGTCCTCATTTGTAAGTTCACCTCAACCGTTCAGTTTAACCATATATACTTATATCGTGTGTTCCAGGTGCATCACATGAAGCCGGTCAGTCGGGTGCGTGGAGATGCTCAGACCATTTCACACGACCCCTGACCTTTACTGCCCGACCCTTTCACGATGGATGTCCACATGCACAACGGCCAGACGCTTCACTACGGCCTGAACGACGCTCCTGTGAGTATTAACCAGGACGTGTATCGTTTTTACGTAAAGCTAATTATGATGACGACAGCCGAGCCAAACCCTACCTTATTTCTGATCAAGACATTATACATGAAGGAAATAACCCACGCATTCACAAACTCCGATTCATGCCAGAATCACACAAGCAGAGAAACCAGTTCCTTCGTCTTTAAAGCATGACGGGACGCTCATTGTGTTTCGGCGGACAGGTGTGGTGTGTGTTAGAGAGCCTTTACTCACTGCGTCTCATACGCTGACGTTTCAGAGGAACGCGAGTCTGTAGTAAAGACAAGAATGCAGTCTAACAGCATGCACATCACACGATCATCTACACAAAACCAGCAGGTTCTGAACGACACTCGGATGGTTTTAAGACAAGCATCACTATTATCACCGCTAACACTTAGGATTAGTGATTTAAACAAACCAGACACGAACGATTCCTGTTGCTTTAAACAAGCGGACACATGATTACAATTAAGTCGGTTTTATTGGTGAAGGTGGACGATAAAACAGGTGGAAGCATCCCACAGATGCACACTGAACGAGAACCTCGGCCATATTTAGAGACCAGAAGATCACAAAAACCTGATTCATGCAAGACGGTAAGAATCCACCTAGCAACCATTTAGAAACTCTTAGCAACCACATTGCAATCAAGATCATTATAGTAAAAAACCCCGAAAAACTAAACCCATAGTAAAACATCACTTGAAATAAAAAAAATGTAAATAGTATTTATTATAAATTATACTTTTAGATCATATTTTTATAATAATAATAACAAAAATAAATTAATATTTTAATAACTAAAATAAAATAATTATTTTAGGCATAAATGACAAAAACGTCACTACACCATTAAAAATTACTAAAACTTAATTAAAATGACAAAAAAAAAGTCATAATAATAATAAAACCTATAATAGTAACTTTTTCCATGTTCAAACATCACTCACGTTTTCTTCAGAAAACACAAGTCTGCGTTATTTTAATATATCTTATACAATTAAGATTTGTAATCTTAAAAAAAAAACAATCCAATGAAAAATATGCATTTAAATATAGATTTTTAACCATAGACTGAGTGTGCAGAATGAGCTCTTCCTATTGCTTGAATTAAGATGTTTATTGATTATTCAATTAATTTTGTAATTGTGTACAGAAACTATTTTTTTTATCCACTCTTGGCAGACTTTTAGCAAATATAGTACATCATCAGGGAACTAAATGCATACAAATTGCATACTGTGCACAGCTATACATATAAACTCTGTACAAATAGTAGTATGCATACCATCTTAATTATTTTGACATACTATATTTATATGGCTCAAAGCGTTCTGATGGATTGATGCTCTCTCTCACTCGCACTCAATCATTTCCTCATGACATGATTGTGCTGATTGTAACTTGATAACTGCTTGAACAAAACACTCCAGACCTGTGTTTGTGATAAAGGAATAGCACTCAAACCATCAGCTGTGAAGAAAAGCCAGTCCTGCTTCTGTCTGCCGCTTGTTTTCTGAATATCTAATGGCACAGACTAAAAGCAGCCCTCAAAGGTGATGCAATGTGTGCGCAGGCAGCATGGCTTACAGAGGGGCCGTTCAGGGTGAAGGGTGTGTTCGCGGGGCGATGAACAAGCAACCCACTGTTCTCACACACACACACACACACACACCTGTGCGAGCAGCATGAGTAGAGTCTGTGTTCTGCTGCTTGAGCAGAGAGAGGCATCCACCTCTGAAACACTCACACTGACAGCCGACTGATCTCTGGAGGTCACAAAGCACGTGCATTGTTTAAATCAGCAGGTTTATGATTATGGGAAACAAATTCAGTCGTGTAGACTGCAGTGCATAATGCATCATGTCATAAACACACTAGAGACTCCCACACTATTTTCTCAGCTGAACCCATTTGAGCTAAAATATTAGATTTTAAGGTAACACCTTACAGTAAGGTAAACATTAGTTTATTATATTAGTTAACATGATCCAATACTAGTATAGCATTCATAGCAAGTTAAACATTCACTAATACACAAGTTGCATCTGTTAATGCACTAACATGAACATTTTTATTAACTAACATTAACAAAGATTAATGAATGCTGTAAAAATAAAATAGTTCATGTTTGGTCATGCATGATAATAAAAATGCGACCTTATTGTAAAGTGTTACCGATTTTCTCACACACACACACACACACACGACATTTCTAATGTTACAAAAGACTTCTATTTCAAATAAATGCTGTTCATTTGAACTTTCTATTCATCAAAGAACCCTGAAAAGAAAAAGCATCACGGTTTCCACAAAAATATTCTGCAGCACAACTGTTTTCAGCATTGATAATAATCAGAAATGTTTCTGGAGCAGCAAATCAGCATATTACAATGATTTCTGAAGATCATGTGACACTGAAGACTGGAGTAATGATGCTGAAAATACAGCTGCGCATCACAGGAATAAATTACATTTTACTGTATATTCACATAGAAACCAGCTATTTTAAATTACAATAATATTTCAAAATTTTACTGTATTTTTGATCAAATAAATGCAGCCTTCATGAGCATTTGCCCGGTAGTGTACATTACTTACTTGACTCCTTCTCTCTCTCTAGGATGATGATCTGCAGTTCCTCAGTCTGGAGGAGCGGGAGTGTATTTTGTTCTTTGAGGAGACCATCGGCTCCCTGGAGGAGGACGATGAGAGGACAGGAATATCCGCAGGCAACCACAGGCTTGCGGTGGAGCGTCCGCTCTCATACACTACAGCTCGACATCCCAGCCCTGTAGATCATGATATCATTGATCTGGTGCACCCTACACCCGATGCCAGCAAACAGAAAGACACGCTGCCCGTCATGCCAGGTACCTGAACACAACTACTCAATATAAACCACAGAAAACATTACAATTCTGCTTTTAATCAAAATAAAACTTCATCCTAAACATGCAAAAAGCTGTGCTCTGAAAAGTTAGTAACTGCACACTATACTATAGTATATATGCACACTATATAGTGCTTACTATTTTTTTTTAAACAAAATGCATTATGCAAAGATCAAAGTTCTGCAATAAAGCATTGTCACATGACTTCAAGTGCATGCTGTATTCAGCAGTGAAGTCCAAATGCAATCTTAAAAATGTAAACAATCCAATGAAAAACATGCATCTCCACATTCGGCAATTTTGAAATTGCACAAAGAATTTGTTTAGCAAATGCAGTCGGCCATCAGGGAATTTTGTGCGTACAATTTGCATATTGTAACACATATACACCGTAGGAGTAGGATGCTAGGCTATTCCAAACATAACCAGAGGATACAAGATGTCGTCAAATCAGCAATGATATCCAACATGTTGCTTCTTTAGCTGTAATAAGGACAAAATACTGTACATGAAACTATGTTTTAGAGTGTTCAAGCTAATCTTCATAAACATTGTACAGCAAAAGACCAGACAATGGGTCTCATTCACTAATAATTGCGTAGACTATTTTTTATTTATATATGCACAGGAGAACGTATTACAAATTCATAACCAGTTTTAGTTTAGTATCATTTATATACCATTATAGTTATTGAATTAGCTTTAATTTTTATATTTTCAGTTTTCATTTTAATTTGTAGTTACAAATTAACAATTAGTTTTAGTAATTTTGTTGCATGCTTTTATCATTTTTATCATTAGTTTTTTTGGCAACACTTTACAATAAGGTCCCATTAGTTAACATTAATGCATTAACATTAATAATGAGCAATTTGTTACAGTATGTATTAATCTTCTGTAGTTAATGTTAGTTAAAAAAAAAAGAATTAGATCAGATCTATTAAATAAAATAAAACGACAGCTTTTTTTTAAAAATGTAAAATGTTGAAATTAATATTAAGATTAATAAATGCTTTAGCAGTATTTTCTATTGTTAGGTCATGTTATCTAAGGTAGTTAACCAATGTTAACAAAATGAAAATTTATTGTAATTTTTGTTTGTTTTTAAAATTAGTATTTAGGTTTAATTTATTTTTTGTATTAGTTATTTATTTATTTCCAGGTAGAAAGTTGATTGCCAAGGCACCATTTCTAATTTTCATCTAATATTTTAATTAATACTTAAATTATATTTATTATAATTAACTATATAATTTAAGTGATATTATTCATAACTTAATTGTTATTTATGTTTTAATTTATATTTAATTTGTTTTTAGTTGCAATTAGCTGATGGTGATGAAATATCTATTAATGAAAGTTAATGAAAATTAAAATTAGGTTCAGGTTTTTTGTGCCCCATATCCGATCAGAGTCATTGAATATGGAGTATCTGCCGATACGGAGTCCCGATCCGATACTTGTATATTCCTAGTGTTTGGTGCACAATTCAGGTACATTAAAGTTAATTTAATCAATCCAATGTATACAAAGTTGTGCAGAAAGTAAAAGTAATATTTGAAAAAAAAAAAAAAAAAGCGTCTGCTTAATGATTAAATGTAATAAATGTAATATATATATATACACACACACATAAGATACACTATGTATACACACACTGTATAAAGACATTGGTAGATGTAAACATGTTACAATGGTAGACAATGTAAACAGACTGGTTACAATTATAAATATGGGACTGCTGATATAAACTTCTTGTGTTTTATATGTACAATAAACAGAATAATAAATGTGGAGATAAGGTTAGAAAGCATGAAGCTCGCGATGTTAGAATGCCAGTCTATCAGCCAAATCCAAAGCAAGACGCATCCCATAGCAACGCGTTATAACAACGACGTCTCGGATAGTCAGACGACAGATAAAAGTATACGATAAATTAATGAGGGATCACTACAAAAGTGTGCATAAAATACACTGAACACAGAATCAAGCGTGTGTGCGAGGCGCTAGAACAGACCTCACTGGTTGTAGCACGGTACGCACGCACGTTTGAGCTGCTTCTTTCCTTTTTAATGATGGTTGGCAAACCCACTTAAAAGGCATATACCGCCACCTACTGCATGACACCGGCATGACAGCTGACGTAAAAAGGATCGGGCTGAGGAGAGCTGATACGGATCAGTTAAAAATTGCTTGATTGGCCCCGATCGGCTTGGGACATCCCTAATTAAATTTTTTTTTTTTAAAGTATGAAATTTACTTATGAATCATGATGTTAATGAAAACACTTGCTTGCTGAATTCACACAAACACACATATTTGTGCATATTCACACTTAGTGAATGAGACCTAATGTCTTTACAAGTAAAGCGATTGACACTTTTAAATAAATTTCTTTAGATTAGTCATATTGAGTGTTGTCCTTACATATTTCTACATATAACATTTTTGCACCATCGGAGCTGCATTAACCCAACTTTAAATGCGTTTGCCTCATCAGATTTCCAACAGCTGATTATACCCCCGGAGACCCATTTTGAAGTGAAGCCGAAACGTGACCTGGACGTCTCAGACGGGCCGCAATTTGGACACCAGCCGCCCGCAGGTTCAGTTCCCACCCCGGTAGTAATCGCCAGCAAGATCGCCGAGCACCAGGGCGCAGGCGGCACGTCTGCATCGCAGCTGCTCCAGCGCAGACGCAGTCTAGAGTCGCCACCGAACCCCTCGACCAAACACGGCCCTCCGACCCACGCCAAGCCCACGCGTTTTCCCGACAAAATCAGCATGTTACTGGGCAGCCGCGAACACATTCCCCACTCGATCGCCGCCGAAGCCGTCAGCGTTCAGGAGCGCCGGGCGCAGATGCTCTCGAGCCTCTCCGGCACGGCGCACCCTTTGGATGGCGGAGAACCGGCCTGCGTGCGCAACCTTCCCATACGGAGCATTTCGTTTCGAGATCCGACGCCAGACAAGTCTAGGATGGAGGCGCTTTCGAAGCTCGGACTTGCTCAGAGGCGAACGCAATCCGTCATGCATTCATCGAATTTCAGCACTACGCTCAACATTACCAATCCAGCTAACACTACCACCGACGCAGACACTACAGACCACTGCCAAACCAAATCTAGCCCCGCACCAACTTTGACGAGTGCCGAAGTCACACACAGCGATTTCAACAGCTATGGCGGTAAGAGCATCATGCTAAACCCCACATTGTCCTTCAGGACCGAGTACCGCTCATCTTCAGTGCCCAAAACAGAGTCTTCAGATGTCCGTCTCAACAACTTCGGCAGCAGATCGCGAGTCGTGACTCCATCCCATCCAAAGCACGGCACCCAAACCAAGACCATCACCCCAGTAAAAGAGGACAACTCCAGCTCAAACAGGACTTCAAATGAAGGCTTACCCAAGAGGAAAGCGTCACACTCTGAAGCGCCTGTGAAGCAGCTGCCAGCTCCGGCTCCAAAACCACGCTCCGCTCCGCTGTCCCCAGAGTTACGCCGCAAATCTTTGCCAAAGCCGTCCTTCCGCACTCAGGGAATAACGGTGCAGTTTTCTGGGAGAGGAGCCACAGATGAGGCCAGACGTGATGCACTACGCAAGCTAGGTCTGCTGAGAAACACGCCTTAAATGTTCATACGCTACTAACTAATAACATGTAGACTCCAGTACATAAACAACTGATAAGCTATGATTTAACCAATGATCATCTGTTGGACAGCAGCAAGACTTTTTGATTGAGTTTCAAATGCAAGTTTGGAGAAAAAGCCACAGGTAACACTCACACACGCCTGCTTAGAAGTTACAGATCTCTGAAAACATTTGCATCAGTTTTAAATGTAGTTTGTGAAGTTGTTGAGCATGCTGTGGAAGCACACGGCCTGCTTCAGCCATGTTTGCATCATGGTCACATGGTTCCAGAACTGAGCCAGTCACTCGAGTCTTAATTGTCATGTGACTGATGACTCTCCCCCTGACGTTTCAATTGACGAACCAATGAACTAATTAACTTAATTGCGTTTTTTTTCTCTCAATTTTTTGGATTTTTACTGTAGTTTTTTTTGCTTATGTATTGTTGGCTATTGCTACAAATATACCCCAGCGACTTGAGACTGCTTTTGTGCTCCAGGGTCACATTTATGGTTTTATTTCGACAGTTTTTGTATTTTTATTGTGTTTTGGTTTGTTTCATTCTTATATTTTTACTGTTTTTTATTTAGTTTCACTTTTACTTTCACTTTCAAATTTTTTTTTTTGCTCTTCCATTTTTACGTTTTCGTTATTTCTGAAGAACCCAGACTGTACGCAAGAATTACCTCAAGGGTCTTCCTAGAGAAATATCTCACATGTGGTCTCTCAGCAGGTAGTGTGTCTATGATAATGTTGTATTTTTGCTCTCTGGATGTTGAATTGTGGGTTTGGATGTTGGTTGTCAGGTGGAGATCTTTCTCTTCAAACATGCAGAAGGTCTCGTAAATGTAAGTTTAGTTCCTCCTACACTAAACCACAGCCATCCAAATCTAGATCTGGAACATGTTGTTAGTCACATGGGACTGAAATCACCACCAATCACACGCGGTTGTATTTTACCTGTAGTGTATGTAATGTGGATTCCAGTGTGAATGAGCACGAGTGTTAGTGTATGTATGTTTTTAGTTTTTTTTTTCACGACTCCGGTTTTTTGCTTTCATTGAAGCAGTTATTGAAGGACTCCGAATGCATGATTGTGAACATGTGACGCCACTATAAACACATACACACAGGAAACAAAGCAACAGTTTATTTCCACCTCTTTGTGTAAATGTAAATGTTCTTGCATTGGTGAAGATCTTTAATTTTCAGTGATTGTTTCTGAATAAATTCAATTAAACCCGTCATGGTTCAGTTGCAACTGAACGTTACAGATAATGTTGAATCTGGAACGCATTAGATGCAAAACAGGGATTTAGAGATTCACAAACATTCACCAAGCGTGACATTTAATCAGTCGAGTCAATGAAAAGACTAGAAAAATCACAAATTCGAAGCACGGTACAAATGAAAAACACAGAGAAGAGGAAAGTACTAAATCAGAAACCGCACAAAGGTGAATCTCACAAAATCTATGCATTAAGAAGTTTAGAAAGAAAATACTTTTTTTGCATTGAAAAATCATTTTTAATATCTCATTACGGTAATATTTAAAGTACATTTGTCAAGCTGAATTTAATCATGTTGTGGTTTTATGAACTTTAATAACGTGTATAGACAGGATAAGCTGCAAATCATGTACTAAAATAGCCTCTGGGGGCGATTTAAGTTGTTTCTATCAATATTTGTATTTTAAAGATGCTTAAAAGGGTCCCAAACTTACAGGCCTTCAGCAGATAAACAGACGTTCACGTTACCAGTCCTCCCACAGGCGTGTGTTTGCGTCCGGCTCGACTGCATCTGATCAGCTGCACTAGTTAGTGAGTTCAGCGTCTCACGACGGCTGTAAAACAAGCTGGTGAGTGTTTGAGAGCACAGACACAAACAAGCATTCTCACGGTCACAGGAAGTCACTTTACTGCAACAGCGAACGTGTTAGCAGCTGCGTTCAGCCCATGCACGTCTCGCTCAGTGAGAAAAAACATCAGGAGAAAGATCAGAACACGTCCCAAAGTTTGTCTGAAGAACAAAAACACTGAGTTTTCCTCCGTTAAGAGTCTCCGTTCGCTCGCTATCGAACCATCAAGCGGTTCCTGGCAAAATAAAACCACCTCCATCCTGTGTGTCCATGCTGAGACATTTCAGCCCAGCGTGTGTATATATATGTGTGTGTGTGTGTGTTCCCATCCGTGTCCACCAGCTGATGCGGCTCATCTCTGGTTGCCGTGGTGACGCTGTCTCCGTCCCAGAGCAGCACCGCTGTCCATCTCTCCATGTCTCTCTTTGACTCGTTTGCTCAGTCTTACATCATCAGCGTCTCCTGCGGTAAACAGGGTCAAAGGTCAGGGGTCAGTTTGTTCCAAACACAAGTGAGCTGCCTATCTAGGCTACACGATGACGTTCTACGTTCTAGTAGAAGTTACAACTACAAGGTGTTGTGGGTAGGGCTGCACAATTTGGGGAAAAATGTAATAGCGATTTTATTATTTACTAATTTTATTATTTTTACATTGAAACTTGCAAATACAATTTTTATAAAAAATAAAAATGAAAAATAAAAATTGCTCCAGGCACAATTTGGCCAATTTTTTTTAATGATATATCAATATTAATATAAACTACTAACAGTAATTAATAAAATAAAAGTTATTGTTATTATTTATTAAAATATAATATTTATATAAATATACAATATATAAAAATAATAATAATTAAATGTATTTTAATAAAATGAAAATATAATAATATTAATAAATAACAAAATATCATGAATACTAAATAATAATATAGAATTAATACAATTGTAATAAAAATTAATTTAAATTTTAAAGGGGTCAGCAGTATTACCTTTAATTCTGTTTAAATAATTACATTATTTTTATTACTTTTGTGCTACTTTCTTTGTGAAAAAATAAAATAAAATGACATATAACTGAATTATATTTTATATTTATTTGCTATTTTGCTACTTTTTTTTTGCAATAATATTTGAATAAAATTTTGTATTAATTTATTTAAGATCTTGCACATCATTTCGGTGGATGAACTGAGATATTAAGTTATGAGAAAATATGTGATACTTTAACAAAAAATACAAAAAATCACAATTTAATTATTTTAAACTTAAATAATTGTTTAAATTAAATTTGAATTAAATTAAAATTAATTAAACTTTACTTTGCTCTAGAAAGTATCAGAAATTAACAAAAATAATTACATTATCTATAGAAGGAATTAAATTTAATATTTGTCATTTTTGTTAAAATTTTGTTAAAATAATTATAGCTTAGCTCATAGCTTAATTCCTTGTTTAAATCATTCAATTATTTTTTGCTACTTTCTTAATTTAATTTTATTTAAATTTATTGTGCACTATTTTAGAATTGAATTAAATGTTTTAATTAAAAATTAAATGATTAAATATTACATTATTCTTAAAGATCACGTGTGTCATTTCTGTGGATTAAATATTAAGCTATGATAAAATATATTAACAAAAAGTATTTTAAAAATAAATATTTTGCACTTTTACTAAATGTTTAATTAAATTTATTTTAAATACTAAAAACTTGCACTATTGTTATTATATTTTAGCATAATAATCTCATTGCGCACAGCTATATGTTAAAAACGCACTGGCGATACAAATGTAGTGAGAGACAGAAAGAAAACAAGTACAGAATGTCAGACGGATGTCAAGTTTCTGAAAGACTGTGAAGGGTTAAACTGGGTCACTGAGACACCAGCAGACTGAAAACAAAGACGCTGTGTGTGTGTGTATCTATAGTTTACACTCCCAGAGCCACATCCTGAACACACCCTGTAGACCTGAACCATTCCAACACACACACACACACTCACGCTGTACCTGCTGTTTGTTGCCCTTGCGTGTGAGCATGACGAACTGCATGGTGTCGCCACACACACGCACAGAGTCAACAGAAGGTTTTATCCAGCTCACACATTAAGATATACTTGCAGAAACCCAGATATATAACTTGAATATATATATTGCATATTTTTTACATAAAAAAGATCAAAACCACATTTAATTTTTTTAATATTTTTGTTACAATTCTTGCTATTTTCTTATTTTAATTTTATTAAAATTTATTTTGCACTCATTTAATTAAAATGTAATTATTGCACACTAATCTGTAATTCAATTACATTTTCAATTAATTAAATTAAATTTATTCTTAAAGATCATGTGTGTTATTTCTTTGGATAAACTGAGATATTAAGCTATATGAGAAAGTATTTTAATAAAGACAAATATCACATTTATTTCTTTGTTTAAATAATTTAATTATTTTTGTTATTATTTATGTAAATGTATTTTGCAATAATTTATAATTAAATAAAATGTTAAATTAAATTACATTTATTTTACTTTGCATCAAGTAGCAAAAAACTATTAAATTATTTATATGAGGAATTAAATGTGATTTGTAATTTTGGCACCAATTTAACTGTTAATTAATAACTAAGTTAAATTTTATTTTAAAAATAATTTTAAAATGTATATTTTAAAATTATTTTTAATTTATTAACTTAATTAAGATTAATACAGATTAATTGTTAAGAAACATAATTACAAAAAAAAAGCAATACATCGAATTAAACATGAAATTTTAAAAGTAGAAAGACTGAAATAGTATTTTCTTGTAAAGTGTACACCAATAATCTTTGTTTAATTAAACAACTTCAAACCACCTTTATTTGCACCATTGTTATTTAATTTCTACTTCCTGCATAATTTCTCATTGCACAGCTATATGTTAAAAATGCAGATATAAATATTCAAGCTGAAGCGATTATTTTTATTCCTCCTCGTGTTGTTTCAAACTTAAATGCTGTTATTTTTTTGTGGATAGAAAATTTTGAAGCAGCTGTTTTCCATATAAAGCGGTCATAGTGACCACAGCTTTTAAACCCCAAAACTGACAAGAATACACCATTAAAGCATCATAAAAATAGACCATATGACTTGGTTGGAATAGAGCACACAAGTGCTACTGACTACTTTAATGGTGTAGTTTTATCAAATAAAAGCACACTTTCAGCAGTACACTAGAACTCAAAGCAGTCAGAGCTGGACTTGAAGCCACAAATCTACAAATGTGACGATCTTAAGAAAGTCAAAAGGGTCAGTTTTGCTCTCAGAAGCATGTAGAGGAGACGGTTTAGAGAGTGTTTGTGCACCTGCAGGTTTTCCAGCATCATTTTGTCCAGCGCCTGGATGAAGTCCTCGTCCTCGGCACACGCCACGTGTTTGAGTCCTCCGCCGCGGAGAGTGACCTCCTGAGCGACACAAACATCAGCGTTAGCTCAGAGCTCAGAGAAACCGGCAAACCTCCGCTTCAGCCCGACCTCACACTCACGTTATTCTCTTCATCCGTCTCGTTCTCTTTGTTGGAGTCGGTCAGATAGTCGGTGTTCTCCTCTTCCTCCTCACGCTCCTCTTCCTCATTGTCTGAGCCCTCCTGAACACGTGCACAACAACACACACAGTCTAGCTGATTAAACAATGCACAAATGTTAAATGCATCCTCATTTGCCTCTAAACACTCCACGTGAAATGCCAAATTATATACACACACACACACACACATATACATATATATATATATATATGTTGTGTGTATGTATGTTTTATTGATAAATTCACAAAAGTGGTTTTTATCAAAGTAAAGTAATTTGTACCATATGGCACTAGATAAAAGGTTTTGATTTTAATTAATATTAAATAGATGTATAAGTATGTATAATTTGTATGTGTAAATATAATTTTATATACTGTATAAAATTTATATAATAATTATAATCACACACACAAACACACATATATATATATTAATTATTATATACATTTTATACATTATATAAAATTTTAAGTTTTCAATATAATATATTGGTATTTAGTAAATATTTTTTTATTTAAATTAATATTAATCAAAATAATTAATTTGAAATGAAAAACATTTATAGGCAAATGTTAACCCATTAAATCCAAAATCAATCAAATTCAAGTGGTGGCTTTTTATTTTGCATATGAATTTCATTTTGATCTTGTAGTGACTAGTGCTGGTTTGTTGCTCTCATCAGTGACGTCTCTCATCTCTGCGCTTCATCAGTAAACTGTGTGTAAGAGCAGTGAGAGAGGAGGCGGGGTTTACAGCTGTCAATCACACGTCTGAGAACAGTCACCTCCTCCTCGGGTTCATTCATCTCGCTCTCGTTTCCAGACTGCTCCTCGGTCTCGGCTCCTCCCTCGTCTTCATCATCATCATCATCCTCATCCAGAGGCTCGTTCTCGCCCATGGCGCTGGAGGAGCGGCCGTCTTTCTCCAGGCCTGGACACACACACAGGAATGCTGCTACTGACCAAACCAGACCACAAGGGATACAAATAAACCGGCACTACAGTATGACTGAAGTTTAAAACCAGCCGGGCGACAGACACACAAACACACGACAGCATTCCTGAAGAGCTATTCTGGATCTGAGCTGCTTTATCACTGATACTCTTACACTCGCCGCAAGAATGTGTCTTTCTCTCAGCACACGTCAGGCATGAAGCCGTCAATGACTGAGCGCATTAAACAAACCTGTGTGTGAGTGTGAGGAATGCTGCTCGACGGGGAGAGCAGAAACATGAGCAGAACAACTAGAAGAATGACTGCACACACATACTCACACACGCACGCACGCACACGCACACACACTCTCGCACACACACACACACACACGCACACGCGCACACACACTCAACAAACTGTATGTGCTATTGTCCTACACCAACCCTACCCCTAAACCTACCCCTCACAGGAAACTTTGTGCATTTTTACTTTCTCAAAAAAACTCATTCTGTATGATTTATAAGCTTCCTCCCTCATGGGGACCTCAAAAATGTCCCCACAAGGTCAAAATTTACTAGTATTACTATCCTTGTGGGGACATTTGGTCCCCATAACGTGATAAAGACCAGGTACACACACACACACACACACACACACACACACACTCACACTCACACTCACACTCAGAGTGTCAGACGAGTGTTTTACCCAGTTTGACGAGGAACTCTCTCTCCAGCTGTGTGACTTGAGCACAGGCCTCATCCAGAGACGAGCACAGCTTCATTTTGGGCCGCAGCAGCTCCAGCGTGTCTGTGATCATGTACTCGATGTCGATGGGGAACGGCTGATCTTTAGTCCACACATCCAGACTCTTCTTCCACCAGACGTACCTCTAAAACACACAAATAAACTGTGCTGAACATCATATATACAGTATGGAATAAATAATTTTTTTTATGTTTTTGAAAGAAGTCAAAAATACAGAAAAAAATGTAATATTGTGAAATATTATTACTATTTAAATTAGCTGATTTCTATGTGAATATCTGTTAAAATTTTATTTATTTCTGTGATCAAAGCTGAATTTTCAGCATCATTACTCCAGTCTTCAGTGTCACATGATCTTCAGAAATCATTCTAATATGCTGATTTGCTGCTCAAGAAACATTTCTGCTTATTATCAATGTTGAATATTTTTTGTGGAAACCATGATTCACTACCATTCAAAAATTAAAGAGTAAAAAAAAAAAGATTCATCAAGGACGCATTGAATTGATCAAAAGTGACATTAAAGACATTTATAATGTTGCAAAAAAATTATTTCAAATAAATGCGGTTCTTTTGAACTTTATATTTATCAAAGAATCCTGAAAAATAAAATGTATCACGGTTTCCACGAAAATATGAAGCAGCAAAAACTTTAACATTGGTAATAAGAACCATTATTAATAACAGCACCAATAATAGATCATATTTGAGCACGCACGCACGCACGCACGCACGCACGCACACACTCACTCACTCACTCACTCACACTCACTCACACTCACTCACACTCACACTCACACTCACTCACACTCACTCACACACACACACACTCACACTCACACTCACACACACACACACAGGTTTTACCACCAATCACAGGAGACGTCGCACACGATCATCCGTCTGTGATTGGCTGGTCCAAAGGCAAACACTCACCTGGAAGTAAATGAGGAAGCAGTCGAGCTTCTTCTTGCTGGAGCCGCGGTCGAAGTACTGTCCGCAGGTGTCCAGCAGGGTGCAGACCAAGCGGATGCGGAACAGGTGCTCGGGGGGGTCCAGCGGGCTCGGGGAACCGTCTGTGTTCACACCGAACGAGGTGAAGGAGAAGAGCGTGCGGAAGATGACGGCAGACTCCACCATACGGTAGTTATACAGCTCACCCAGGAACTTAGCGCTGCTGATCCGCCGCTGGTTAAACTTGGGCTGGTTCACCTAAGAACCAAACACACATCAACACAAACATCTGAAGCATCTAAAACGTCTCATTAGAATTGCATTATTTTTGTTTAAAAAATAATGCAATTCTATTTTTAAATTAAAATTTTGTTTGCATTATTTTTGTTTTGTTTCATATTTTTTTATCTTAATTGCTTTTTCAATTAAGTCAATTCTATTATTATAATTGCACAGACAAATGCAATTAAACTCTCTTTTAATGTTTTTTAACTATCTTTAGAAGTTACTATAGAATATTAGAACTAAACTGAATCAACATTGCACTAAATAGATATAAGTAATCCGAACAACCCTGAATAATCTGTTTATCTTGGTTTCCATGAAAATATTCTGCAAAAACTGATAAGAATCAGAAATGTTTGTTGAGCAGCAAATCAGCATATTAGCATGATTTCTGAAGATCATGTGACACTGAAGACTGGAGTAATGATGCTGAAAATACAGCTGCGCATCACAGAAATAAATTACATTTTCAAATATATTCACATAGAAAAAAGCTATTTTAAATTGTAATAATATTTCAAAATTTTTGATCAAATAAATGCAGTCCAGGTGAGCAGAAGAGACTTAAAACATTAAAACAATTAAAATAATTAAAAACTTTTGACTGGTGGTGTGTGTGTGTATATATATCATTAACAGTGATACATTTCTGTAATTAAGAGCTAATGCATTTAATGTGTTTAATTCGAATGAAAATAATGACTCAATGCAAAAAAAAATTATATTAGGACTAAATATTAGAACTGAATCATCATTGAACTGAATTGGACTGAATAATGACACTATTGTCTTTTTAGAGCTGCTTCACAACTGAAATAAAATTATATTCCTAATTTTTGAATTTTGAACATTAATAATGTTTCTGTAATTATAATGTTAATGTTCTGTAATTAATAATGTTTCTGTAATATAATATTTTTCGGTTAGACTTTATTTTAAGCTGTCCTTGTTACAGAGTACTTAAATGTATAATTACAGAGTAATATTAATTACCTACATGTACTTACTATATGGTTAGGGTTAGGATTAGGGTTTGGCTTAGGGTTACTTGCATGTAATTATGCATAATTTATTGTTATTATAATAGTAAGTACATGTAACATGTGTAACAAGAACAACTTAAAATGAAGTGTTACCTATTTTTCCTGTATATTTCTGTGAAGCACACACACACACACACACACACACACACACACACACAGACAGACACACTCACACACACACACACACAAACACACACTCACACACTCACTTCACTCACTCACA